ATGGGCCTATAGTTAGCCGGATCCACTTTCCTCCCTTTCTTGAAGATAGGCACCACATTGGCCTTCTTCCAGTCTTCGGGCACTACACCAGAGCGCCAAGAGTTTTCAAAGATCCGAGCTAGAGGCTGGGCTATGATGCTCGTCAGCTCCTTGGGTACCCTGGGGTGAAGATTGTCAGGGGCGGCCGACTTGAAGGTATCCAGCTTCTCAAGATGTTCCTTCACGAAGTCAGCATCAATGGAGGGCAGGGGATCACCCTCACCCGGACTTCCCTGTCCCGTAGCGGGCATGGGCGTCCCATGGGACTGATGAAAGACCGATGCATATTATTTTTCTATAGCTGTGTTCCATACTTACCTTTTACTTTTTTTCCGATTGAATTATCCCTGATCTGTTTACTGAGCAATATATCCTATCCCAGCTGCCTGCCATTTCTCAGAGCCACATCTTGCTATGTGGTCCCTTCTTTCTACTTCCATCCAATTCCCACTGACCATCTGGATCCCAAGAATGCAAAGAATCTGTCTTAACCTGCCTTCACTCCTAACTCTGCTATTACATTCTGGGAAAAAAATGGCTAATGCTTTACACAAAAAAGTCTCTTGATTATTAATTTATTATACAGAATTACAACAGGGCTTTTAAATTCAATGCCCATGTATTCAGAAGGCCTCTCCTCTTCATGCATCCCTTTTACTCCACTATTTCCAAAATGGCAAGTCACTGGCACCACCAAATCAAGTAGCATCCTTACCTCACTTAAGTTGAGAAGTACAGAGATGGCCAGGGTGCCCAGGGCACTGCTGATGGCAGGAATTCAAGAACAATGAACAGAAAATTTTAGATACTCACTGGTCACAGGCTGCAGCTAATGCACAATATTTAACAACACAATGGCATGGCCTCTGCCAGTAATGTAAAAACAGAATGGATTAGAGCCAGAATGGCACAATCTGCCTGACTGACTCATTCCTGGCTTTCCATGTTGGAAGGGGTATTATCTACCCACAGTATGCCGTACCCTTCAGCTAGTCTCCAAATAAAATTCATTAAAGTAAAAAAAGGGGGGGGGCAGGGAGGTGATCCCATATAACAGTTAAAAGCAGTAACACTGTGCAGTATAACAAAGATACCACTTGGGAAGAGCTCAGAAGCTTCTGGATTTCATTACAAACTGTGGAGCTTGATCTCGACCAGGAAAACAGATTGACTTTGCTTTGTAGTATTTCATAACCCTTTATTGCACAACTAAAAACCCATTGTTTCCTCCCATCTATAAACTCCTGGTTTGGGGTTTGGCTTTTCTGGTAGCTGTTTTATTTGTGGACTTTTTAGCTCAGGGCATCCAACTCTTTCAGAGTGTCCACCAGCTTTATTCATTTGCTTGTGATTCAGACATTAAAATTCCAACTACTATTTGCTTTCCTAAAAATACCAGCAGCCCAGACTGGTGTAGCTTCTGACATACATTTGTGGAATGATGGTGCTCTTAAACACACAGCCTCAGCTCTTTCC